ACTGCTGGTTTTTGATAAAATTTTAGGATTTTCAGTGCGGCTTATGGTCGTGAAAATACGGTAATTCAAATGAGACTAAAAAAATGTAGAGTGGATACAGATATAAAAAGAAGCCCCTTTAAAGCACGGTTTAAATGATTCCCCCCTTCCCTTCTTGTTATAGTAGAGTAGAACTATTATGTTGAAAGTCCATGCTTGTGCTCCACCAAATCTTAAATCAGAAAATGTTAATCCATTTTTGTTAAATATAATGGCTGAAGTCATACATCACATCATCTTATGGTAGTTTGGTTTTGACTTAGTGCAATGCACAATTTCATCCATGACATTCTCAATAAATTACTGCTTATTCTCTGTATGAATCTAGCCAATATCCCGATTCAGGCTAAGCCAAAATAAATTGTTACATATTCTTACATAATACCTATTCTGACATTAAGTCAAAATGGAGCAAATCACATTATTGCTTGGCACCATGTGTATGACTTCAGGTCAGACATAACTATAAATCCCTACTCTTCCTAAAACTCATTCCTATATTCAGGAATGAGCTAACAGCAGAAACTTCACTCCTAGATCAACATGTTACAAAATGTATGTTCCAGGACCAAATTTAAATTGTAAGCTTTTTTCTTCTGTTTTTTTGAATTCATAAACTCTTGGCTGTGCTTTTCCTACCCATGAGATTGGAATGCACCTGGTTGGCTTATAAAACAAATGTCTCTAGTCTTTCCAATTTAGCTCTTACCTTGTGAACCCAACCAATAAAATGGCTATCCCTTGTGAAGTGAAGTGAATAGAACCAAAAATGCTAACTGAGTTGGCATTGAGATTGAAAAGCAAATACAGGTTTTTCTCTTATTTAGTACTCCAGAGCATGAAGAAAGGTTGCTCACTTCTTCAGAGAATGTCTGGAGTTGATCTTTTGAATACACATACTGCCAAATGCGCTCCATATCATTCCAATCCTTCACTATACCATGTTCCATTGGGTACCGTATAGAAAGAAGACCTCTATGTTCCTTAAGAAAATTAAAGAGAGAGCCAATCAGGAGACATATAAACATACATTGATTTGCTGATAAAAGACTTCCGAATATAGTAACCACTAAATTTACAATGGAAATCACACTTGTAATATAACAGAAGAAATATGTTCATTATGCAACAAACATTTATTTTATTTTTATCGTAACAGCAACCGTGTGGATGATATGTATGCATCCTTAATGCATATGTTTCATTATGTATAGATATGTGTTTATTATTACTATAAGTTATTTCAGTTCATTCAGGAATACTTCTAATATAAGACTAAGCAAATGGCTAGGACCCAATCTGTTTATCAGGAGAAACATAGGAACGATAAATATCAGACTCTATTTAGATAAAAAGCATAAGCTGTTTCTCAATTTCTGCTGACCATAAAAAAGAATAAAAATCCAGTCAAATCAACATAGTGATCTTACCTCTGCTTTTGGGCCAATGAAAATGTCACCTTCCAATGCTCCAGCCATAACTCGGACATGCTTTGGTCTGCCAACACTGAAATAAGTACCACAACGGGGGTGGGTGGGGGTGGATTTATGAGTTAAAAAATTCACTCAGGAAAGGCCATTCTAGAATCATTAGATTAAGGTGCTGCAACTTGACCTGACTGGTTGAGTTTAATATCATAGAATTGTTTATTTTAACCATGGTTAAAATGCACACATCTCATTAATGCTTAAATCAGTCACTGATTCATGCTACAGAACTAATCAAATATCTTCAAAACCCACCATAGGATTAATGAAGAAACTAATTTGCTTTGCTTCTTATAATAAGCTAAAGTATTCTAATTTGCTGCAAGCAGCAAATTGTAAATATCTTTAAAATTCCAAATCCATGAAAAACTATTTCTGACCCCTCCCCCAATCCTCATTAATAACAGATTCTGCGTCCTATAGGTCATGTAATAGCCTAAATGAAGCTATTCATAGAAAATGTTCACTGCCAGAAGCAGCTTAAGTTAAAAGTCTCAGTGTGCTCTATGCAAAAAATGTTCATAGGAGGAAATTATGGAACACCAGCAAAAATTATAAGGATACTTACTAGTTTGGAAAACAGTACTTAGGTATTTGATCACCTGCAAAACCAGCTTTAATCATGCCAGAACCCTGTTGGGATAAAAAAACAAAGACCATCATATGAAATGAGATAATTATTCAGGAGCATCTTGACTTCAAAACAATGCCTATCAACACATGAAAAATATAACAGTCCAAATTTAGCACCAGCCTTCTTGTTGAGACCCTTCAATGAAAACTTCACCCAATAAATTCCATGGTTAAAACTGTATGACCTGTTAGTGAATTTATGTGACCACTAGATGGAGCACATCCCATTATCACACTTATGCAGCCTCAGACCACCCAAGAAGAATTTCTTTGTGTGGGACAAAAGGTTTTAGAACTAGACAGTAAGACAGAAAAGGCTTTTCCTAAAGAGAAGTACAAAAAGCAAGAAAGATCGAGTAAACAACACTGAATCATATCACCCTAATAACTTACAGAACACTGAAGCATTCGCCCCTCTGTATACGTCTTTAGGAATTTATGAAAATAATACGCCAGGCACAGCTTGGTTCAGACAACAAACTTGAAAGGCTGAAATCGTGTTGGCTAATTTGGGACTCAGTGGCAGGATTTGCAGGAAATGTTAAAACTTTCGTGAGTAAATAATCGTTAATTTGACTATGGATAAGCATGCTATGTGAACATAGCTTTGAAAGTAATAAAATCTCAGGCAAGTCAAACCTGAATCCTGGTGAATTTATGCACATGTTCCTGTACCTTTCTAAGCAATTATAGATAAATCATTTGCAGTTGCCTTCTTCTAAGATTTGATTTTTTAAAATTGCTTATAAGTTAATTTACAGCAAACTTTGAAGAATAAAAAATAATCTACCTATGTTGTGCGAACAAGTTTTTAAAATACAGTTCTAATAACTGCGCACAACAAAATCAAATATCTTTATTAAGGTCTTTGATCCGTTTTTACAATTAAATATACAGTAAAACAAAGGTTTAACACAACAATTGGTCATTAGGGAAGGGGAAAAATAATGGGACAGTAAAATAGCATGTCTAACTAAACATTCTTTGCGCTGTTGTGTAAACTTGATTTAAAAAAATTGGCCGTCTTATGTGTAAGTGTTGGATTAGTGTCCCTTAAAAAATAGTAAGCATAAAATTTGCCTGTATGGCTCTCATGTTTGGAAATGATTGGGGCAATCAAAGCACATTTTGGGGCATTGTAAAAGGGGCATTGTATGAGAACATGGGTGAGTTTCTACCTTTGTAGAACCATAAGGGCAAAGTCTCTGTGAATAAGGGATCCCATGAAATCTTCCCTGAAGTGGGGCCTAGGCAACTTCATCAAAAGGCCCATCTAGTTTTGCTTAGTATTAAAACTGTTGAAGTACCCCACAGTGGAAAGCTTGTGACAATCTAATAAATGGCAGTAGGATTCAGGGCACTAGTATTAGATGTAGAACAAAAAGATTCTATCAGTCTTCCTGAAATTAAAGAAAAGCGGAAACAGATTAACTTTTACAGGGAAGGAATCCATCTCACCACAGAAAAAGCCCTGCTCCCTATTCCCAACTGCCTAGCCTCTTTCAACTAATTATCATACAGAGGAATCCCTGAATCACATCATCATATAATAAACTACAGACATGTTCTTCCAGCAGGCAGCAGTTTTTCCTATGACTTGGTTGTAAACCATGTGGAGATTTATAGGTACAAAATCACTATTTTGAATTGTACCAGAAAAAGACCGTTGGCTTACCTGAACGGTCGTTCTCAGGGCGCCGCAAGGAGAGTCCAAGCGTGGGTTAACACAGCCTATCTGCCCTTGGACTGAGTAATGATTTTCTTGACCACGCCTCCCTTTGCCTCTCCATGTTCAGTTTTAAAACGAAAAGACAAAAGTAAGGTA